AATGTTCACCAGACCCTAACCGTAAATGACTGCTGTTACATCCTGTGTGCATTGTTTACAGTTTATTTGGAACTAACAGAGAGATCAACTTGTGGTCAATCCTGGTGGCCTCATGCTTGAGGCAAAGACTGGTTTAAATTGTTGCTTTCTTTCTAATGTAGAATGTATCAATAGAAGAAACTATGCAATTATGTTGGTGCCAATATTGTAAATACAATACTGTGTACAGTCCTGAATAACAATTATCCCTTTCCAGCTTATAATGTGAATAGATCTTCTGTAGGTATAACGCCAGTCGATTGAGGTTAGTGATCGCTACCTGCAGTAGCATTCAGTAATCTACATTCAGTATCAAGCAGTATTAAGTTTTCTAAATTGTATTTAGTACACCAATTCTTATGTTTCATATGGATATTTTGTAATAATTTAATTGTATTTCTTCCTAATTTATGCTATGGACTGCTTTTACAGCTTGGTACACTCTACCATTTGCATTATGGTGACAAGACCACCATCTCTCCACACCACTCAAAGATGCTCTTGCTCTATATTATGCAATCTTAACTTGCTTTGTAATGTTCAAGAGAGCAATACTATAGTATGTTATTTTGGTGCTAAAATTATTTATAACAGCTATTTACTGTTGAATAAATTATAAATATATCCTATGCAAGTGTAACTAGGTATGTACAAGACCAGTACCTTGAGGGACCCTTATTCAACTAGCTATACATTTCCTACCCGACCAAAACAAGCAATACTAAATTTGAGTAATATTTTGTATTAATTCTTGTGCTAATTTCATTTAGTTTCCTTATCTATGCTGGGATTTCTTGGATTTTTTTATTTAGAACAAATATCAATTGTATAAATGCAATTACCATCAGTATCAGCATAATTGATATTATTGGCAAAGTACGAGGTAAATGACACACAGTAATGGTGTATCAGAGGCCATCCTTCCTCCAGCAGCCCGTCTTCATAAACAAAGGCCAAATTCCATTCCATGCACCCACCAAACCCCCCCCCCCCATTTATGAATGAAAAACAGTTTACACAACTCAGAACTGATGACGTCCGAACACTTCCAGAACAAGTACTTCACTGACGACTTTTGTTCGAACCACAACACTGTAAATGCTTCACCCACATACTATAAATACAAATAATTGCCAACGGAACCTAAACACCTAACCTAACCAATACCTAAATATGCACAATACATTAATATAAAATATTAATTTATATTTGAAAAAAATATTTTTTTTTTTGAATGAACAGCATGTTAAAATTGATAAATGCATCTTTGGGGTTAACCGCTGGATGGAATAGACTTGGTCTGAGGACGGGTTGTCTCCAGACACTGCCTCTACCTACAGATACCACCGTCTTGCTTACAGTCTCACTTTTTGAACCCCCTTTCTTAAAAAATTCTTTTATTTATTTTTTTTTTGGTTTCTGGACCTTCCATTTCCCCCACTCTCTCAATCGCAATTGACAAGCAATACCTAGATTACCGAGCAGCTGACTGCAATGCAACCGACTTATACTAGACTCATCCACCGAGTGGTGACTAGCAGGTGACCCGAGAATTGTCTGGTTCATAAATTGTTTGCAGGTCTAACTCAAAATTTAGCTACAGATGTTTCTGAATGACTGGTATCTGTGTGTGATACATGTGTTGTCTCCCCCCTTACACCCACTAGCACCCCCTACTGAAGTAAGAAACTGCAATGGGAATACAATAAACTAATTTGTTGGGAGGTAGCTTGGTGTTAGGTCTACACCCCTATGTGCTGGCCATCAAACCAACCAATAACACTTAACCAACACAAGCCGATACTTGCATTTATTAATTTATGTCTTTATCGGAGCTTTGGTAGTAAAGGTTGATGGCATTTTTGTGAACGAGATGATTTACATCTTTCAATCTGAGGGTTCATAGTACAGTACAATATTGTGAGATGTTTTTGTAAAAAAATAAAATAAAATTTTCACGTGCAGGAGGATACATCCAGTTATCAAGACAATTCAGATTTTCTACCAACTGCATGTCACAACCAATTCAGAAAGCGACACATCTCAGAATATATAACATGTGACACATTGACTTGATTAAGGACATTAATTAATATTTTTACTTTCCTCTGAAGACATGAGATGTTGATTTGTTTAAATTACAAGGTTCATTTTTCTTTTATGAATAATAATTTTTCAGGGCAACAGTTTTTGTCCTGATTTTATAAATTTTACGTGAGGACCTGTGACCCAATTATCCGGACAAATTTAAAATCTAATACCTGACAAAAATTAATATCATTGGAACTTGGTCAGAGGCTATCGGAGTTTCAGGTCTCTCCCCACATCAATACTGTTTAATTTGCAACTCTTCCCAGGCCATCGGTGCCAAAAATATATCTACGGCACCCTTTAAGTTGGCACAATGCAGTTTTGTCAATCTATATACAGTATTGCTTTGCTTTGGTTAATAAATACAGAAAAAATGTATTGGATGTAACCAATACAGGAGCCCAATGATCTTCAAAACATATTGCTGTATGAAGAGTCTTCGGTGTATTTTTATAAATAAGGATGTGCAAGTTAATAAAAGTAAACAATAAAACCAAGAATATGTAATGCAAGATCTAATGCAAGCTGACTTGAGGGCAATAGAACAGTCCCACGACTAAATCTCAGGGACCTGCAATTGTTGTAATAAACTAAATAGGAGAATATCAAAGCTAGTGAACAGCCATTATTGAGAGAACTGGCAGAGAATACATCTAGAAACTTTGTATATAACAATGAACACACACAAGTAGTATCCACAAATAGTAGACCATCATTCCACAATAGTCTACTACTATTTCACAAGTTTCTGTAAGGACTTACAGTTACTTAACTGAAGTGTTTTAGTCTGCCTGTTTGACGGATCTAATCATCCAGTCAGGAAATATGAGAGGTGTGCCTAGTCAGGGAACCCTATTTACATATTGGTGCTGCCATCTGATGGCAATTGAGTGTAGCACCCAACTGAGCCAACTAGCAATTTGCAAGAGTGCTGCTTGGCAATCCTTCTGATGGCAAAAAATGCTTAAATCTATGTGAATGAGCCTTCTCTATTCATTACAAGACAGATCAAGTATTCTCTAATATATTCCTTGCATCAGTATGACCCAACAGTGATGTTAGGAAACATTCCTGTCTAATAAACACAAAATATAACCAAATGTTTGTTTATGCTGTTGTAGAGTTGTTACGTTACAGCAATGGAAAAAAATTACCATACTAACATGTTTGCAAGGGCTACCCCAGTGAATGTCTAGATTTATGAGTGAACACAACAATGCTGTCTGGGAGGACCAGCAGGATCTTCCCTATTGAAGCAATTGAAAGGTATGTCTAAAACAAAATAAACTATTTAGTAAAAATATTTCAATAATTTGATATCAAATTTGTACAAATTATGTTTATTATTTGCATTAGTATAAATGCATATTTTTGGGGGGCCAAACACTAGCAAGAGACCAGAAGCACAAAAGATTCTGAACCATCACTTGGGGAGCAATCCACTGAACAGTTTAGGAAAATGCATATGGACAGATTCAATAGTCATCCCAAATGTATTAGAGCAATGATTGGGATGTGTTATCTTAATCAGGGATTAACAGAAATTTTTAAGGTTTTATATTAAACTATGATAAATTTAGAGTATTGACTGTCTGCAAACAACTGTAGCCTAACACTTTTTTAATCAAGATATACTCCTTACTTCAATAACCTACAATTCAAGTAATATTACATTATTGTCCTTACTTAGCCTCTTTTGCTTCTGCCATAGAGGCCTTTATTCAATTGTTGTAATATGAGCTTCTGCTTTATGTTTGATCTTTATAATTCTCAAAGAAAACAGGGACACAATTATTAAAAGCAGAAAGGACTTTTAAATGTGGTTAGCATTGTAAATGTGAGACCATGTCTGTGGTTGGAGAAAAAAATATTAAATCCTTTAAATTTTCAATTTTTAGCTACGAATGTTGCTAGTCCAAATGATATTAATATACTGTACAGACAAGACAAAAATTACACCATCACAATTGCAATCTGTATTTCACAAATACTGTATTATCCTAAACCCTTCGTCCATTCTCTTCCCTGAAACACAAAGCATCTACAGACAACAAAAACTGTTACGATTCAGATTCAAGATTTTGAGAGGAAAGGGAGAATGGGGTGAACAGCATTTTCTTATTGTTCACTGCTTTAAATTTCTGCATTTCCATTCCCAATTCTTTTTCCCCCCATACCTGTATTATTATCTTTCTGGCTGCTTCCCTTATTATGTACCTAAATATAATGCTAAGTCAATCTTGCACTCTCCAACAGTGTGTGTTCATAATACTGTTCAAGCAAGTGGCAATTGCTTTATGCATGTAATAGCTTGAGCAGATAGAGCACTTCAGCAAATGTTTCAAGAACTGTTTAAAATTTATCACTTGAGGATATGTAAAGTACCTGAACAGGACGTTACACAAAACCCCCACATTAGAAAAAGGAAGCTCACAAAGAGAAAATGTCATCGGAGGATAGACAGATTGTCCACAATTTTACAAAGCAAAAAATGAGAAAAGGAAACATGTGATTTGTTATGGATAAGATATTGAAGATTGTCTAACTTTCTTTCATACATACATATTGAACTTGAAAACTTCTATGCATACCGAAATTAAATAAAAACCCATGCTTAATGTTTATCATATCTGGAAACTATTTTTAAACACAATATAACCATATTTTCTTTAACACAAACATTCCAAATATCTAACACTTCTAACACTAGGGACATGATGTATGTCACATGTTCCTCGACTTCAATAAAAATATAAAAAAAAGTGTTCATTAATTTCAAACAAAACATACTGATGACAAGTAGTGCATAAATATAACTTAAAGATAATATTGAAGATATAACAGTACATGTAATAAACATTTATACTTACTTGGCAAAGCCAATGAAGTCTTCATGGTTTGTATTCATATAGGCTAATTCACACTCGTTCAGTAACAGAATATTTTCTTTAACTATTTGTTCTCTTTCCCTGATGTGTGTGGTAATTATCCTCTCCGTTTCCTCTTGAAGTCTTGGGTACCGAGACATCTGTTAATAATTCTTAAGTTATTGCTCAAATCACCAACAGAGGGACAAAAATGAAAAACTGAGTAAGTTATAAATGGAAATACTATAAATAATACCTACCACTATCTTCATGGTCTCCACTGTTGCTGTAACTAGTATGTAGCCTTCCAGGTTGGTTACTTCTAGAATCTGTATTTCCTCTGAGCTCCAATGATTTTTAACAGTAAATTTGCTTGGGAAAATAGGATATCCACTTTCATCTCAGAAAGATTATACTGTATACAGTATATTCTTTTTAATTTAAACCGATATAATAATGCCGTATTTCAGCTTAAATGTTCTATGTATTATACTGGGTCAAAGGCCGAGGACTTCAGCACACTCCCTACACACATGGGGCATAACTGGCCAACCTCTTGCAGTGTTTAATAGAGAACTTGACAAACACCTTCAAAGGTACCTGATCAACCAGGCTGTGATTCATGTGTCAGGCTGCGAGCAGCTTCATCAAATAACCTGATTGATCAGACCACCTACCAGGATACCTGGTTAGAGACAGCCATGGGGACATTAGTCCTCAATCATTGACAGGTAAATGAGAGGTAATAATCAATCACCTCTGACACCCCAGATGCTCTGTTTAGCTTTGACTCCAGCAAGAATAAGAAATATTGCCAGTACAAAAATGGAATTCAATGGGGGGGGGGGGAGGAGACCCCTCCCCCAATCATTTGAAATAAAAGATCCTCTGCAAAGGCACCAGAGCTTACGAAGGGACAAATGTGACCCAACGTTCCAACTCTGACTCCTCCAAGCCCTGGGAACTCTTCAGAAGACGGTACCAGCTGGAAGGACCCAGAACCCACAGCAGGATCAATAGACTCAACTGCATCCACACCCAAATTGGAAGAGGCAAACCCTGGATCTGCTAAAGCCACATCCCGAGCTAAATTGTGCCCCGACTCTGAAACCCTTAGATGCTTTGGTGTCAGAAGAAGCGGAAAGGGGAAAGAGAAGGGTGAACCATGCCTTCCAGGGAAGGAAGATAAGATGAGGATGGAACCACAGTTGAGTTAACAACACCTTCAAATATGAGTTTCTAAACACTAAGTGGAACAAATCCAGACATCTAAACAGGTACACAATGTAGACCGCTGCAACATACAAAATCTTAAATACAAAGTAGCCATTGCCAGATACCCTTGATCATCATATAGAGGATGACCAAAAAGAGCAAAGTGCGGGCAACAAGTCTCACACGACTTGGGGGGCCAAGGATGTCACTGATCTAGCAGGAAGTATGGTGGAGGTAGAAAAATGAATGCTGTCCAGTGGCACAGATGACAGACAACCCTCAAGTTCGTACAAAGTAACAGCGAGCTCAGCAGAGGTATCCATAGTACCACTGAACCCACAGAGATTTTCCAGGGCCTACAGGGTGAGTGTTCCTTGCAGGTATGCCCAGGCACTGGGAAGGCTACACTGGTAAACCCTATATAGTTGTGTAGGTACCCTTGAAATCTGACACCTGCGGAAAGGGCAAGAGACCAAAGTGGATTATCTGCACCAGACTCTTAGATAAAACCTAACACAGGCAGGAATGGTTCAAATAAAACCCTGAAGTAGAATGAGACAATAAAAACTAAAAGCCCCTGACTGAGGAATGAAAACGAGGACCGCAAACTCTCAAGACACCAGACCGTGGATAACAAGTAAACAAAGGAGAATTGTAGACCCAAACAGGTACATAAAGCTGGAATTATTGCCTTGGCATGCCAGAAAGGTCGTGCAAACTACAGTGCACTTTACCAGCCAAAAACACCTCCAACCCAAAGAAAGAAAGACAGTCCAAGACAACTGGCTTACCTGAAGGGTGATCACCACCATCACTTCACCACAAGTAAAGAGACCCCTTTAGGGAGTGAACCCTGAACACTTCAGTGAAGAAAATCCTGACAGTGCAAGGACAGTATTTAATGAGTGCACAGAGAATGGAACCCTGAGTACATGCAGCTCCAAGCACACTAAACTCCTGGGTCACAATGCACAACCATGCACAGTTAAAGCTGCAAAGGCAAAACACCACTTAGCCAAAGACAGGAGACTGGAGCCATACCTTACCTCATCTTGATGGGGTTCTGGGAGTTGTTCTACTCCCCAAGCCTGGCATGACTTGTAAGAGCTTGCTTCAACAGGCAGTTGCTTGGAGCAGCCTGCAGGCCCACGTATCCATTACACCCCGGTTTGTCTGGTACTTCTTTAAGAAAACTATCAAGTTTTCTCTTAAAGACTTCCACTTTTGCTCGTCATATTTCTTATGGTCGTTGGGACGATGTTGAACAACCATGGACTTCTCATGCAGTGTTCTCTGTGCCTATGGCACCTTTATTCTTCACTGAATGGGGGAGTGAACTGAGAGAGTAACTAGACATGTACACATCAGAATAAGAAGTTGTGGAGGAGCAGCTGGCTGACTCAGTCTGCATTCCCCCCCCCCCCCAAGAAATGAGGGGGAAATAGATGGAGTGAAGTAGCTCAAGCTGGTTTCACAAATTTTCAATACTTGTAGTTAGTTTATATTGTTGGGGAGGGGGTTGTTTTGGCTGTTTTCAGGCTGTGGTCTTTTTTTCTAATCAAGCAGTGGTGTGTTTTGTTTCAAAAGACTTTCTGGGTGCCTTCTCTTGGTGGTGGCAGACATGAATAAATTTACACAACGTGAGTACGCTTGTGACACCATGAGCGTAGCTCTCATCCTGTAACTACATTTAGGTAATTACACTTAGGTAATTACTAGATTTTTTATACTTGCCACTGCTCCCTGTGCCTCTCTGAGGGGGGCCAGGTTCTGACTCATGGTCCCCAGTAGGCCAAATAAAACTCCACAGCTGATGGCACCTAGTAGTCTGGCAATATATCAAATATACATAGTAGCTTCAGATGGCCACATGAGGCTCCTCCAAGGAAAATTCTAAGGTGTGCAAGAAGTAATAATCAAAAGAAGGCACAAAACCAGGAAGAAAATTTAGCATCCTCCCTGTTGTGGGATATTGAAAACTTCCTAAATATCACCAAGAATATCAATATTGTACAAGAGCCAAAAGACAAGGTGAGGAACATCAAAAGTATTGGATTTTCCAAGGATCAAATGAGGAGGCAAAACTTCAAGACGACTGAGAAAACTTTGGTTGATTCGGCTAAGGGTGCATCATTTGTAGTATCTGTTGGTGTCAGTTCATCGTTATCAGTGTGCCACCAGCTTAGTTTTATTAGATGCTCTTTGGGTTGACCAGTCTCCCTGGTCCCATTCCAAGGCTTGCATCTCAGGTTTTCCACAGTATCATCCAGGATAGAGAGCCACCGAGCCTGAATGTCCCCAAGACTCTAGAAAAGACCACTATAAGTGCTGCATATTTACCCTGGGAGCATGATGTTTGTAAATATGCAGCACTTATAGTGGTCTTTTCTAGAGTCTTGGGGACATTCAGGCTCGGTGGTTTTAGTGGACTAACAAGGTTATGGCAGCCAGGTATTTAGTCAATGTCCCTGTCCTTTTCAATTCTGTGTTGCCCTAGGTCATATTTCCAGGTTGTTAGCCTCTACTTTAACTTAGTACCTGCTGGCCCTCCTCCTCTCTGGTAAATCCATAAAAATTTTATGTGCTTATTTGGTTACAGGAAGCCACTAAGGGGCTTCCCCAGAAACCCAGAATTGAATGTAGAGCCCCAGTGGCTCCCTGTCTTTTCCCCATCTCCCATGTTCATCGGTTTGTTGCCCTGCACTATCTTCTCCAGAAGTGACTGGATAGCTGATGTTGAACTGAGCTCTGGGCCACCAGGCATTGGAATTTGGAACAAATGGGTTCTAGCAGTTTCATGTTTTTTCTTTTGTTTATTTTAATTGTCTTTGGAAATTATTTGGCAGTTTTGTGGCTTTGAGTCTTGTGTGCCCAGTAGTTGTATGCAAAGCTTTGCGGACTTTCTGGATGCTTTCCCAGTAAAATGGTAGAATGTCATTCACACACTGTGCCTCGTGTAAAGGGGGGCCCCAGTTCTGACACGAGTCCCCAGAAGGCTAAATAGAACTCATGCAACTGAGGTGACTTGTAGAATGAAACAATCTCAGAAAGACAGTATCAGAGAGCCACCAATGAACTCTCCCAGAACTGGGATTATATATATACAGTACAGTGGAAGCCCGTTATCTAGATTTTCCAATTACCTGAATATCAAAATTTCCAGTTCTCCAGTCTCATGTCAGATTAATGGGGGGCTAATCCTCAACATCTATCAAGTCTCTGTAGAAATCTGAAGCAGAGGGCACTTGTTTACACCAAATAAAAATGCAACTGGCTTCCTACATTTCTATTGGTGCATTCCTATTAAAACACCATTACAGGTCATGTCTTAAAATACAGTAAATGCCAAAATAAAAAACTAAATACAAATTTGACATTATATTCCATTGTCTTATTAGTTTAACTTGCTTTTCAAATATCCAGAGGTACCAATTGGTCTGAATAATCGAGATCACATTGCACCTGTATTGATGTTTTGCATACAAATTTTAGAAAGGAGTGAAATAATTCTTGTAATATATTTTCAGAAATGCCTTTTTTTTTCTGGAAGAGTTACATACTGGTCCAACAAAATAAAACTCTAAAGAAAGTTTCTGAATTACTGGAGATCAAACATACAGGTTAAAAGATCAGCAGTACATTTCAGCTATAGAATTTAAAACAATGAGACTATGAAGAATAAGAAAACATGCATTTATATTTGAGCAAAGCACAAGCCCATTCATACATGTGAGCAAGTATGACCAGACTGACAAAGACAGTCTAAATGAGAGTTCATTAAAATAAAAGTAAAAACTGTACTGATAGTTACAAAAAACACTAAAATTCTACTTTACCTTAAGAGAGCAGTTTCGTACAACATTTGTGAGTTCTTGCACAACTAGGTCAACACATTTTATGCATGGTTCCTTTAGCCGACTAATTTGTCCTTTGACAATTGCATCAAATGCCATATCGGGAGTAAACAGGCCCACTCGAATACCATGAATATTTCTAATGGCAAAAGCTATTTCTCTACGAAGCTCCTTTTCATCAAACTCCATTCGAACAATCTCATATGGAAAACGCTCATGAAAGAGGCGATTAATCTTGGCACCACCTGAAAGCTCATTAGTGCTAATTTGGGCAGACCCTGATCCCTCAATTGCTCGTTCAAAGTCATTCTGCAACTGTTGAATCATTCTGAAAGAAAAAATGGGATTCACATGAATTATGTGTATATGTGACATCTAGGCAATAACTCATATCATCAAACAAGCTTATATGAGTGGGGGAAGAGAGAGAGTGGGAATGTAATTACTCACTCACACAACTTTCTCACTTAACTTGTTCCAACCATCTACCACTGATTGCAAAAGAAAACTTTCTAATGTTTTTTTCTGTGCCTTTGTTTCCTTATACTGAAACCTCTTATTCTCAAGTTTTCCGATTCAAGGAATTCTTGTCAATTTGGGACATTTCTGTTGTTATTTTGTAAGTGGTGATCACACTTTTTTTTTTTCCTATCTTCTAGCTTTGGCATATTTAGCACCTCTAGTCTCTACTCAACTTTTGTTTTTCAGTTCCAGAAGCCATTTTGAAGCATGCCTTTGCACCTTTTCCAGTTTATTGATGTGCTTCTTGAGATGAGGCTGCTGCATATTCCAATTTTGATCTCACATAAGTCATGAATAGCTTCTTCAGTATTTCACTATCCATATAATTAAAAGCAATTCTGCAGTGGGAAAGCAGCGCATATGCTCCTCGCACACTGATCTGTGTGTGTTAATCTGATGACAGTCTACTATCCAAAACCTCTCCTAGATCTTTTAGTTTTTTAATTCCTTCCAACATAATTTTTTAAATTATGTGGTTTATTTTCTCCGATTCCACATTCCATAACGTTTTGAAACTACTGACAGTTTTGGCCTCCACCACCTTCTCATTTAGCTTGTCCCAACAAGCTAACAAGCCAACAATACAAGCGGGTCTACCCGTTTGTAAAAGTAAACCTCCAATTTTTTTCAGCACCTTTGTTTCCTTAGCTTGAATCTGTGTCCTCTTGTTCGTGATGTTGCTGGTTTCAGGAATTCCTCTGTCAATTTGGTTGATTAATGTTAGTATTTTTTAAGTGGTGATCATATCACCTATTTATTACATATTCTAGTTTTGGCATGTTTAACCCCGCTAGTATCTCCTTGTAATTTTTGTTTTTCAGTTCCGGAAGCCATTTTGTAGCATGCCGTTGCACCTTTTCCAGTTTCTTTTTGTGCTTCTTGAGATTTGAGCCCCATACAACTGCTGCATATTCCAATTTTTGTCTCAAAAGTCATGAACAGTTTTTTTTTTTAGTATTTCACCATCCACATAATTAAAAGCAAGTCTGAAGTCGGAAAGAAACACATATGCTCCTCTCACAATGTTCCTATGTTCCTCTGGCGACAGTTTACTATCCAAAACCACCCCTAGGTCCCATTCTTTATTAGTACTGTAATTCCTTTTCACATAATTTATAAGTAGTGTGTGGTCTATTTTCTCCAATTCCACATTCCATAACATGGCATTTATTCACACTGAATTCCATTTGTACACAAGCACATGTACACACATTTTTTTTTATTATTATTATATATATATATATATATATATATATATATATATATATATATATATATATATATATATATATATATATATATATATATATATATATATATATATATATATATATATATATATATATATCCATATCCAGAAGAGATGAACTTCACTGATGGGAAAATGTGATCATACACATATTGATAATGCAATTACAATAAATTATTTACTCTAACTTATGTCAAAAATAAATAAATAAATAAATAAATAAATATTATATATATACTGTATATATGAAAAGAAACATACTGCAACATGGCTTTTGTTTTGATAGATGGATCGTCAGGGCGAAAATGTTTATATTGTTCCACCTCCTTTTCCATAGTCAATAGTTGCTTTTGGAGTTTATCACGAAGACTTGGTAATGTTTCTCTTATGTGGTTTGTAAGTTGCTGGTTTAGTACACGCTGTAGATATGGAGTGCCCATGCGGTCTGCTACGTGGCGATATGCGGGATGACCAAGGAAAAATTTTCTTTCAGCTGCCATTGCAGCTTTTATGTCCTTCCTTCCTTCGATATCCTAAAAGAAAGTCCAGGGGACATTACAAATTATATAAAAAAAAACAATTTATTTATATGTGTATACACACACACACACACACATGAACTGTACATATGTTGTACCTAATAACCAAATATGCATAACAAGCCAAATTTTTGCAAAATATTACATTTTTACCAAAATTTTATTATGAAATGATAATGTTTACATTGTATTATATATGATTGCTATTTTATGTTGAGTCAAAACTAACAAATTTGATCAAACCAAACCTAATAATCTATCCAAACATGACATGTATGCAAACAAATATATACATACTGTACACACACAGATACACACACATATTTATATATACTGTATATATATATATATACACACACACACACACACTACCACTTAGGTAATTACACTTAGGTTGTAATTACTGCTTAGGTCATAATTACCACTTAGGTTGTAATTACACACACACACACACACTGGGACTAGGAAGAAATAAAGCAGTTGAACCCAATAGTGTTTTACCTTAGGTGCTGCGAGAATGTGCAACCGAGCTGAGCATTCCACTCCAATTAATATTCCAGACACCCTTGTGCACAGGAATCTTAGCAGATATATGGAAAAAGGTAAACATAGTACCAACCTATAAAAATGGTAGTCGAGAAGAACCTCTGAATTATTGATCCGTATTGTTAACAAGGATAGTAGTCAAAACACCACGAACATTAGTTAAGGTCAAATGGGTTGAAAACCCTAGAGAGTAATGACATAATGGACAGACAGTATGGTTGTCGAACAGGAAGATCCTGTGTAACAAATCAACTTAATTTTACGATAGAGCCACAGAGATAATTCAGGAAAGAGGTGGTTGGGTTGACTGTGTCTATATGGACCTAAAAAAATCTTTTGATAGTCTCACACAGAGGCTGTTCTGGAAATTGGAACATGTTGGAGGAGTGACAGCAAGACTTCTGATATGGATGAAAATTTTTGTCACAGTTCTTGCACCAGTAATGTTCATCGTCTACATAAATGATCTACCACAAGGAATACAGAATTATATGAACATGTTTGCAGATGATGTTAAGACACTGGGGTAAGATTGGAGATGCAGATGACTGTAATACCCTTTAAATTGATCTAGATAGAATAGGTGCTTGGAGCATCAAGTGGTAAATGGAATTCAATGTAAATATCTCAAGAAGCACAAAAGAAACTGGAAAATGTGCAAAGACATACTACAAAATGGCTTCCTGAACTGAAAAACAAGTGTTACAAGGAGAAACTAGAGGCATTAAACATGCCATAACTAGAGGATAGAAGAAAAAGAGGTGATATGCTCACAACTTACAAAATACTAACAGGAATCAACCAAATTAACGAAGAGGAATTCCTGAAACCAGCAACATTACCAACAAGAGGACACAGATTCAAGCTAAGGAAACAAAGGGGCTGAAAAAATATAAAATAGTTTTCTTTTGCAAACAGCTGTCGACGGTTGGAACAAGCTAAGTGGGAACGGAGTCCAAAACCATCAGTAGTTTCAAAGCGTTATACGACAAAGAGTACTGGGAAGGCAGGACACTGTGAGCGTAGCTCTCATCCTGTAACTACACTTAGGTACAGGAATTACTTACACACACACACACACACAGCAAAGTTGAGCAAAGCTTAACCTCCATAAACACAACTAGGTGAATACACACTTAGGGTAGAAATAGCCTAAGCTACTCTGTCCCTTTGAGATGTATTTTATTGTGTCAATAAATGTACTTGTACTTTATGCCAATCAGTGAAGAAGAAATTCCCAAGTGATTAATCTTGCCAAAACTAGGGGCCAGATTCACGAAGCAGTTACGCAAACACTTACGAACCTGTACATCTTTTCACAATCTTTGGCGGCTTTGTTTACAATTATTAAACAGTTAATGAGCTCGGAAGCACCAGGAGGCTGTTTATAACAACAACAACAGTTGATTGGGAAGTTTCCATGCTTGTAAGCTGTGTAATAAATGTAACCAAAGCCATCAAAGATTGAGGAAAGATGTACACGTTCGATAGTACTTGCCTAACTGCTTCATGAATCTGGCCTTAGATTCACAATTGTAGGATAGTTGAAATCTTGAGTAATACACAACTACTATATCATGACTAGTATATATTGTATATAACTGATCAGTCTATATAGAAACTTTAAAATTCTATCTTTCATACATGAAAATTTTCCTCCTAGCTCCCACAAAGACCATTACAAGGAATCCAATACATTTTAAAATTAGAATGTTATTACTGTATAATAGAAGTTAATAAAGATGATTTCTTCTAGAAATTTTAGTAAAATTCTGGTGTGTTGTACATGATAAATTGTTCACCAAAGTTTTCAACTTCAAGAGCTTAAAACGAGCACACAAGGAAAGGAAGAGCACATGCACATAATCACTCCACCTTATAAAGAAATTAGAACAAGAAAAATGAAAAATAGAATATGATGGAATAATTCCCATAGGGCATAGCTGGCCTAGCTTAGATCTTGAAAATACATTTCAGTTGAAAGGGGTGTGTAGAAAACAGATTAGTGTGAACAGTACGTGAAAAGTAGTCGAGGCAGCAGTTTGTATTTAGTAAATTTTGGTATTTTTGAATATGGCAACTCTTGACACACACCAACATGCACTTAGCAGTAGGGTGGCAGACCAAGGAAATGTGGGGGTGCTACTTATGAGAATGAATGTGTCATTTGAAATAGATTTGACTTTTCCAGTATTGCTCTTATCATATCTGGCTTGATGTTTCCCAAACTCTCAAAATTGAATAACAGTGATGGTAATACCAAAGATGAAATAAAATACATTTTGATTATAGAGTATAAGGGCAATCGAGAAAGAGCTAGATGAACTGACATATCCCAATATGAACAGGATATTGTAGCAAGTACAATGGGAGTAAGAGTGTGTTGTAAGGTGTACAAAATTTATGAATTCAAGATGAAATGAATGCAGGCTGGTGCAGTGGTGGTTAGTTACAATGGTTATAATGGTGTTATCTATAGTGTTGGTTGTAGCACACTGTGCTTGCAGACATAATGGGGGATCCATCTCTCAACTTTTAATCAACTGGTGTACTGTACAGGTTTCAAAACCAATTAATCACTATCATATCAACACTTGAAGCTGTTTATAAAGTTTACCTCCACCACTAATTCTTAGCACATTGGAAATGTCCACCACAGTGAAAATATTCCAACCTTCATGTTGGTCAACCTGGTACAGTACTTAGTTTCAAACTATTTCCCCTTATCTGTGAACCACTAATGCTAAACAATCTGCCAACTTTATCTCCCCTCATTTTTCTCTATTCCAGTGATATGTTAAATTCCTTAAGTCTATCGTCGTAATTCATTCCTCTCGATTCTGTAACTAACAAAATAAAGACTACATACATGACGGTAGCACATATTTCAAACTGATCTAACATATGTGGTATACATGGCCCTGAGTAACCTCCTGTTCAGGTACCCCCAGAGGATGCAGTTGTAATGGTGTTGATGTTTTAACCCAGATTGTGCTATATTCCAAGGTGGCCAAAAGTATCCCAATAATATACCATGACCTACAAGTGAGTAGACACTAGAATATCGCCTCTCCCCACTTCCTCCTCACAGTGGCAGGGGACATAAAGGGTGTCATAAGATAACCACTTACCAAGAAAAAAAAAATGGGTGGAAGTGTTGCAAAAACTCAAAACACTGATAAATATTATCCATAAATGAAAACAAACTCTCAAAACAATCCCAAACAAAATACCACCCCAATGCTTCTCTCTCACCACCAGCAAGGGGCCTGGTGCTGGCCAGCCCTTCACTCACTAGCCTGGTGTCCATAAGTCTCTAGAAATTGTCATTATTTTGTCATGTGCCTGGATTTTCTATTATGATTCATTGTGGAGTTGTCAGTTCAATATGCTCTTAGTGAGTATTTGCCTATCTTAAGATTTTCTAACCCACTTTGGCTGTGGCTTCAGAGTATTATTCACTTAACAAGCAGTTCAGCTGATGTCATCAAGCAGAGTTAACTTCTCTAACAAGACAATTTCCCCTAGAATATATTCCTCTCGAGTCTTTCTTTATCTCAGGAAGTACCTTGGGATTCTGTTGCCAAACAAGACCTGCAGAAGGGAGTGATGACATTAATTGTAGTTTTAGAATCTAGCTTGGGGTTATGTTGATATATTGGTGCTTAGCAAGTGACAATTAACATTATGAATTTTTTTTAATGGCATGACATATAGTCTGTAACATTAGCTTGGTCAGCTTTTGGTTATCTACTCAATAGGAAAGTGCAGGTTTATTTCAAGTCCCATGCAGTGTGAGAGTTTGCTATACTTAGTTAAGAACTAACTTTGGAATCATGTGCCATTAACCGAGATGCGCTTAGAGCGAGGTATTTGTTCTCATGTTGTTCTTATAATGATGGCTAGCCGAATAACTTCCTATGCTTAAGCTATTGCATTTAATGGAAGAATTGGTGTGATTACACCAATTATATCCTGTGCCTTGAATATCTTTTTCTCTGAATTTTGTGAGTAAAGTGGTGGTGAACCTCCACTAAGTTCAAAGTAGACCTCTTCTTCCCCATGGCTTGGCAACATGTTCCTGCAGGTTAGTCACTGACCAGGACTCCTGGTTGACAATTTGGTCAAATAAGTTATTGCAATGCTGCACACAATCCGATGTAGGAATCATAGCCTGGCTAATCAGGTACTATTCACCACATAGCAAGACAACAGGATCAAACCAGCAGCCTGAGTCACTCCAGACAAGCACCTTAATCCATGGACCGTTATTGTGATATCACTGCAGGTTTATCACATACTTTCTTGACTGAAACAGGTCACCTAGTTATACCTTATTGTTAGAGGGAGTTGAAAAGCCTTGGAACCTTAATGTTTATGGTTCTCTTAAGAAGTACCTATTGCCCCTACTTAACATTGAGACTATTTTACATACAGTATTAGCCATGTCTCAGGGTCTTGTTTGGGAAATATTTCAGGAATGCAGATTTGGAATCGGTCCCTCTAATATTTTCCAGGTGTAAATTATTACATCTCTCCCACATACATATTAGGGAGTGCAATTCAGGAGACTGAAACATCATAATTATCGGATTACTTAATAAAAGAATTTTGGCAGTAAAAGTTCTTTGCATGTTCTTCAGGTCAACAACTTCACATCTGAATGGGGATGTTAATGTGAAAGAATATTCCACCATATCTAGCTATAGTGTCTTGAAAAGTTCCACTGTTGGTATGGTACCTTGTTAGAAGGGTTCTTGTTATCCAGCATATAATTTGCCATGCAGTTGTTACAGCTATTTATTGTGTTCTTTAAAAGTACTGTAAGATCTTCTGACATGATTACTCCCAGATCTTTTATGGTGCTATTTTTTCTTTCTATAGTGTGCTTGTGACTGATTTCTTACGTTTTACCATAGTGTAGGAGTTGGAACTTGTCTTGATTGAACAAATTTCCTACAGCCCTGGTTTACATCATTTTGGAGGTTTGTCATCTCTCTAGTTTCAACTCCTAAAAATCCTAATGTCATCTGAGAAGGATCTCTTAATATAGTTTGTGTTCTTGTCTTTGTTGATACAAGAATGAGAGAGTACTGCCACAAGTACAATTCCCTGTGGGACTGAACTTGTCACTGTGGATGGGCCAAATTTTACTTTGCTGACTATTACTCTTTGGGTTCGATTTATTAGGAAATTAAATATCCATCTTCATACTTTACCAGCTACTCTTTTGAGACCTTGTGTGTATGCAATTACACCATAGTAACATTTGTAGAAAACTTTGGCGCTGTCTGTAAATCCCACCTGCATTTCACTCTAGGTAAAATTTCAAATCATCCTCTTTGTGGAGTGTTTTATTTGATCTGAAATTTATGGGTGGAGTGGTGATGGACCCCTACTAGGTTTAAGTGTTAGATTGCTCAGTTTGGTTTAGTAATGTGTGTGTGATTCTCATTGTTGTCTCCAGCCAATGGTTTTCACTTTAGGTTCAGCTCTATGTGCAATTTCTAGTCTTGTGCTAATTGGAACATGTTCTTCTCCGAGCTCTAAGAATATAGGAATAAAAGAAGCTGTAGAAGATCTATCTATTGAACTGTGAGAGAGTTATTTATGTCTAGCAAATCTATTCATATATATACCTGTATACTTGTACCTAATCTTCCCTTGAAACAATTCAGTGCTTATCTATCAGTGACTACAGGTGAGCGATATCTAGCTTCTTATGGCCTGCCTCCTGGCTGTTAATACCTGGGGTACTAACACTTTCGCGCTCCGTGGAAACTCGCGGTTGACAGGGGGAACGTGGCCCCTCGGTGCGGGTAAGCGCGCGGCGACACCCAAATGTGTATACTCGTTCCAGCTTTCTCACCTTAATTCTCGTGCTACGTCGCTCGTTTTGGTATCATTGTGTTCGCAATTAAATTCTCTACAGGTGTGTATAAATATAATGTCCAAAAGCCTAGCGTGACTCCCAACAGCAAAGCGTAAAGTCGGCAAAAACGCACAAAATCAGTAACATGTGCATTCTCGTTCCATTTTTTTACCTTAATTCTCGTGCTACGTTGCTCATTTTGGTATCATTGTGTTCGCAATTAAATTCCCTACAGATGTGTATGAATAAAATGTACAAAAGGCTGGAGTGCCTCCCCGCAGAAAAGCCTAAAGTTACCCGTGAACGAGCACCATTTTGTACATTGCAACCTAATGTTCAACTCGTTCAATTTGATAACATCAAATTTCGTGCTACGTCGCTCGTTTTGGTATCAAATTGTTCGCAATAAAAAGGCGAGTATTTTAAAACTAGTCCCAGAATAATAGAGCAATAACTGGATTTTTAACAAATATTTTAATTCTGGACGCTCATCATCACAAATTTATTTATAACTTTCCAGTGTTCTGACATAACTATTTGTGTTACATCTTTCATTTTGGTATCAAATTGTTCGCAATAAAAAGGCGCGCATTTTAAAACTAGTCCCAAGATAATAGGACAATAAATAGAATTTTAACAAATATTTTAATATTCGGACCATAGGCCTATTTATAATATTTCAAGTGTTTGGACATCAAGTTTCATGTTATATCTTTGATTTTGGTATCAAATTGTGTGCAATCTAAAGGCGCTTATTTTAAAACCACTACCAGATTGATCTGATAAAATTTAAATTTTTAAAAAATATTTTAATGAGTGACTCAGTACTGCGTCGTTGGAACACATTCAGTAGAAAAATGAGTGACGAGATAGTCAGTCTGTGGAACCTCAAAGTGTTAATTACCCCTCTCAACATAAACATTTTTATATTTCTTTTTAAAGCTGTGGATAGAATTCACTTCAACATCCACTCCTGCACTTGCCTGTCACTCATACAGGGAATGAAAACTTACTTACGTTCCATTTCCACTAGTTTCCCTTTTAATAACTTTAGTTTAAATAGGCTGCCATTGTCCATTTAGTCTATTTCCCTCAAAATCTTCATATGTCGTGCTCATATTCCCCGTTTCTTCTCCTTTAAAGGTGAGAGGGCGAGTTTTGTCAAGATGTCCTCATTGCTGTAACCTCTCAAATCTTGTACTAATCTAGTTGCAAACCCCCCCTGAACTTTCTTGAGTTTCTGTATATGCTTCACAAGTTGTGGGTTCCATGCTGGGGCTGCATAATTAAGTAATGGTCTCACATAGGCAGTGTGTATGGACTTAAAAGCCTCCTTGTTTAGATCCTTAAACGATGGTCTTATGTTTGCAAATTTAACATATGCTGTTGATATTATCTGTTCACATGAGCTTCTGATGTTAGCACTGGGATTATGTCTACTCCAAGGTCTTTTTTTTTATGTAATTGCCTTCCTCCTTATGGTGTAGTCAAATACTAGTCTTCTGTCTCCCTTACCCATTTACATTACTGTACTTTACACTTACTTGAATTAAATTTCAGCAGCCCCCTTTTGAAGCTTATCAAGTTCTTCTTGCAGGACACTACAGTCCTCTTTAGTTCTTACTCTCATTAACTTTGCATCATTTGCAAACATCAACATGTACGAGCTCACTCCTCCCCAAAGATCATTTACGTAAGTTAGAAAGAGGAATGGTCCTAGAACAGCCCTGAGACACACCATCTTCCACTCCTATCTAACCTGACATCTCTCTGACTATGACCCTTTATATCCTGTCCATCAGGTACTCCCATACCCCAGTCCACTGCCTTTCCTGTGATGCCCACTTGGCTCCCCATTTTGTGTATTGATCTTTTGTGGGGAACTATCAACAGTTTTCTAACAGCCTAGGAGGATGCAGTCTACTCATCATTCTCTTGCCTCAGTTTAATAACCCTGTCATAGTATTAAATCAAATTTATTAAGTACAATTCTCTCTCTCTGAAGCTGTGTTGCACTAATGGTATAAAATATATTCTCCACAAATGTTCTACAATCCTTTTATTGATGACTTTTTCCATCATCTTGCAAGGAATGTATGTTAATGACATTGGTATATAGTTTAGTACTTCATGTCTATATCTGGTGTTGCAGTGGTGGTGGTTGTGGTTGCAGAAATTGTGATTGCTGTTGGAGAGGTGGTTAACATGGCAGCAGTGGTGGGTGAAATGATGGTAGATATGGTTACAGATATGGTAGATATGAATGCAGCTGTGGTAAATATGGTTGCAGCTGTGGTAAATATGGTTGCAGCTGTGGTAAATATGGTTGCAGTGATGGATGTTAAAGTTGTTATAGTAGTAGCTGGTATGGCAAGTACAGTAGCGAGAGAGAGAGAGAGAGAGAGAGAGAGACGAAGGTAAGAATTAGAGTGCATACATGTGTAAATATATATATTTATGAATGCAGGTATGCAGGTGCAGCTTATTTGTGAGAGGTTATTGCACAAGGTTTTCTCCCCTTTTGAGTGTTAAAATACATACAAATTTGCCTTCCTTGCCAAAAGGCATATCTACCAAGGATAACTACTAAGGTCTTATAGGAAGTGCAGCAAACCAAAATGCGGCATAAAAAAATCTGCCCACCAGTTACATTTGCCAGGAAAATGTGTGTACTATCTATAAACTACACACCTGAAAAAACTGCTACACTAATATTGTACCTACTTATCTTAACGTCTCACCTTTTGAGATCTATTGACGACTCCAACGTAGCCTCTCCGTAGGGGAAGAAGTTTGTTTTCTAGAACATCCCGAGCATCTGTTCCTTCATCCATCAAGTCGAGCTTTGTAATAACCCCAATAGTTCGAATACCTAAACGAAGTGAGAAGTTAATTAAGCTATTGATTCCCAAGCAAATCATTGTCACTAACTGCCCTATACTGTATTTTCAGCAGTAAAGGTGGTGAGAGTTACATATGTACAGTACCATAAATGTTTACTGTATATAGTATTTTCTTGTAACATGTAAAAGACAAAATGTTAACTTATTTGAAGTCATCTAAACACGTTAATACCATTTCCATACTAGCTTTATGTTTATTGGCAAGATTTATAAATATAGATAAAGAGTGTCATTTACAAACTTGGAGAAAGCATATGATGAAGTCAAATGAAGGGGGGGGGGGGGGATCTGGGGTGGGTGGCACCTTATTAAATGCTATGAAGAATTTTATAAGTATAATACTGTACACCTAAGTTAATTGTGTAATAAGTGACAAGTCTGATGAACGTATATTGTATATTTAATGACTCTTAAATAGACTGCAAACTCGTATGAGCAAACTATATGGGAGTGAAGCCAATTCAATACATGAGGAATTTAATTAAAACCATCAGACCCCTGGTAAACCCAACCAGGGAAGGATCAACTGCAAATGGCAACTCAAGCACAGGAGGAAACCACAGGTAACAATTGGAGCACCAGTGTATGTTATTAAAAATAATTATTATTCAATTTTAATTTGAACTGTCATGAAGGAAAGACTAGTCATTAACGAGCAATTCCATATAAAATTTCATAAACATATGACAATTATTTGTGGCATACACATACAATAAGATTTGCTCACAAAATGTATGCCGTCACAAAATAAAAATTCATTGATTATGCATTCTTCATTTTAATTTTATGCATATTAGAGCAAAAACTGGTAAACAATTTCATATCAATATTATAACTAACAATTATTCATAACACAAACTTAAACAAGATTTCCACACAGTTTCTCCATATCTGTTTTCATAATTTGTTTATAGGCTTTGATTTATTATTGTGTGGCAATAATACTTGTACTTTACTGTATATTAATTTGTAGTATTTTTTTTAATTTTACATATTTTCTCTAAGATCTGTAATCTGAATTCTAGTAACCCAAATCTTCAGCCACTCTGAATTGGTGTTAAATCATGTGCAGGTAAATGGCAGGAGTAAGCAGGTAAATGATCAAAATGTGAAGGTAAATGATGAGAATGAGAGGGGTAACTAGCAAGAGTATACAGGTTGTACCACAACAAAATTGTAAATGTTAAATTTTTTCACATTCCTGGTAAGAAATTCAGCCGACTCAAATGGAGGCGGGTCCAACATTATTTGGAATACAAAGTGTAGCTAGTATTTGAACAAAGCACTAACCTCATTTGAGCAAAACAAGCCAGAATGTTGCAATGATTATTCACTTTTATCTGATATGAGTACAGTATATATTTTGTAAGCATTATCAGTATTAGCAATTTAACTTGTAAAATAAAACAGTATACTGTATAGTATTTAGGTCTGTAAATAATTTTATGAACTGTACCAGTACAGTACTGTAGTTTACATATACAGAGTGTGGTTGGCTGCAAACACGTCTGCATGCTGAAACCTTGGCTCAGTGTTGGCATAGGCGAACAATTTTCACAACCAAACATTTGTTTGATCCACTGAACAATTTGCACCAAACTCAAACATGCAGGAGTATGATAGAGTGAGGTTGGTGTGAGTGAGCACCCACTTTAAACCCAACAAGAGCTAAATAAACACGCATTACAAAATAACACTAGGGGGTATTGTTAAAGCCCATATAAGCCCAAGCAGGAAAAATGAGGTAATAACATTGTTGCTATTTTGTCTGGGAGCTGAATGTAGACACTCGACGAGTTTCCAGACCCAACTCTGTTCCAGGGAAAGCACTAACGTACACCCCTTCCCTCTCTGTTGGAAGCGGTAGCCAAGATTCCAGCAATCAGGCAAGCCTACAGCTGCCACCACAAAGGGCATGGCTTGAACAAAGAAAAAAACACAGCAGCACACGCAGGAAACCAATGCCAGGGTATGTAAACAAACCCAGATGCAGCAGGATGAAGAATGGTAGTAAAACAAACCTCTAAAGCCCCTGAAAAATTCTGGTATAAAATGAGAGCAGACTATCTTTATGCCACACCAAATGTGAAGGATAAAGCAGATGAGGTGGAGGCTGTAACTTAAACATAGGGTCTGCAAGCGAACTCCCATGCACCCCCAGACAAAACAGGACCCTGAACACCCATACCCAGATCCTCACAGATGAGTCAAAGATCCTTGCACTACTCAGGAGGCAACACCCTCCACATTATGTAACCTTAGCATTGTGCAAAGGTTACATAGAGCATTATCTCCATGTCCTTGTTTACCTGTAAAATGATTCTGAGGATCAACATCTCCGTAACCCAGTATCTGACCAGGTCTTCTGGTTGCTGGACTGATCAACCAGTCTGATGCAGCTGCTCGCAGCCTAACATAGGAGTTGATCAGGTATCCTTTGAAAGAGATTGTCAAGTTCTTTTGAACACTGCGAGAGGTCGGCCAATTATGCCCCGTAAGTGTAGGATCAGTGTGTGTTGAAAAATCTTAGCCTTTGATGTTAACTGAGTTCTCTGTCCCAGCATGCCTACTGCACCTCTGCTTTTAATGGGACTTTTGCTCAGCCTGCCATGCTTTCTGGTCTCATGTGGTGGTATTTCTGTGTGCAGATTTGAAACAAGTCCTCCTAGTAATTTCAAAATGTAAATTATTATGCATCTCCTGCCTGCACTCTAGGGAATGCAGCTCTAAACTTTTTAAGCAGTCCCAATAACATACATGTTTTATCAAGTGAATTCTAGCAATAAATGATCTTTGTATGCTATCCAGATCAGCAATTTCTCCAGCTTTGAATAGGGCTGCTAGTTTGCAACAATATTCCACTCTAGAGAGCACTAGCATCTTCAAAAATATCATTGGTGTGGCATTCCTTGTTTGAAAGGTTCTTGTTATCCAACCAATCATTTATCTTGCAGTTGTGACAGCTGCTCTGTTGTGTACTTTAAAAGTAAGGTCTTCCAATATGATTACTCCTAAATCTTTTACGCTGTCTTTTCTTTCAAAAGTTTGGTTTGACTTTAATGTGTACACAAATAGTATTCAAATCAAGGATTCCCATTTTCCCTAAAATTCTGTCACTTTTCAAGATGGTTGATGTTCACTGGAGGCTCCATATATTGAGTGGAAACACATTGTACCAGTGCAAGTTTAAAATTTACCAGTCTCCGTGGTGTAGTGGTAAGACACTCGCCTGGCTTTCCGCGAGTGCTTTGTCATGGGTTTGTATCCTGGCCGGGGAGGATTTACTGGGCGCAAATCCTTAACTGTAGCCTCTGTTTAACTCAACAGTAAAATGTGTACTTGGTTGTAAAAACGATTCTTCACGGCGGGGATCGTATTCCAGGGACCTGCCCAAAACACTACTCGTACTAGTGGCTGTACAAGAATGTAACAACTTGTATATATCTCAAAAAAAAACAAAAAAAAAAAAAAAAAAATGACAGTAATGAGCATTGTTTGTGTCTGCAGACTTAACACTTCTTTTGTGTTCCTTAAGTCTGTCATTAAGCGTACGGCCAGTTTCATCAAAGTATTGGAGAGGACAACACGAACAGGAAATGGAGAGGACAACACGAACAGGAAATGGAGTAGACACCAGCAGCATTAGAAGCAGGAGGAGCAGTGTGAACTAGATTGCTACGAAGTGTGTTAGTTTGTCGAAAGGCGAGCTTTATGTCAAGAGGATGAAAAGTATTAATAAAAGTTTTGAGTTCAGATATGAAGGGAAAGCAGAGCACAGTGCTACTGTACTAGTGTTGGAAGCAGTTTTAGAATGAAAGAAATTTTGTTTAGCTTGAAAATAGGCACAGTTGATAAAATGCAAAGGGTAACCAAGACGAGAGAATGATTTGTGGATAAAGGCAATTTCAGAATCAAGAAACAGAGTCGCTGATGTGTAAAGCACGGAGGAAGAGAGAGAGTGACACTTTTTTTTAACAGGAGGAGGATGGTTGGAAAAAAAGTGAATGTACATGCCACTATGCATGGGTTTGCGGTAGACAAAGAGAAAGAGAGCCCGAACACAGAGTTGTGAACGTCAAGAAAAGGAAGGAGGGAATTAGATTCTCATTTAACTTTGAAATGGATGGAAGAAGCCAGATTGTTAAGAGAGGAGAGGAAAGGCTGGAAAAGACTAAGGTCATGAGGCTACAAAGCAAAAATGTCATCAACATAACGAAGCCAGAGAGAGGGACGAGTATTAATAGAAGGAAGAAGAACCGTTTTGAAGTATTCCATGTAGAAATTGGCAAGAAAAGGGAAGAGAGGAGAACCCATAGCGACACCGAAGATTTGAGTGTAATATTTACTGTTGAAAGAGAAAGAGTTAAGAGTCAACACAGAGTCTAATGAGTTCGAGGAAAACGTCAGTGGGAAGCGTGAGGGGAAGAAGGCCCTCAGTTGCCTTCTGTCTAAGGAAAGAAAGAATGTCATCGAGGGGAACATTAGTGAACAGAGTTGACATCTAGACTAAGCATCTTACAGGAGGTTATCTTGAGATGATTTTGGGGCTTTAGAGTCCCCGCGGCCCAGTCCTCGACCAGGACTCCACCTCCAGGAAGCAGCCCATGACAGCTGACTAACACCCAGGTACCTATTTACTGCTAGGTAACAGGGGCATAGGGTGAAAGAAACTCTGCCCATTGTTTCTCGCCGCCGCCTGGGATCGAACCCGGGACTACAGGATCACAAGTCCAGCGTGCTGTCCGCTCGGCCGACCAGCTCCCTCTGCAGGGCTGCAGACGTAGTCTTTCTATGAAGTCCTGAGAGTGACGAAGGTGGGCAGGAGAAAAAGTGCTAAGGTAAGGCATCAGAGTTTTAACAAGCCAGGAGGAATGAGAATAGCCGACAGAGCCCCGTGAAGAAATGATAGGACAAAGAGGAACACCAGGTTTATGAGTCTTGGGTAGACCATAGAAATAAGGAAGAGAAGGGCAGCTGACATGGAAACGTTTAATGAGATGAAAGTCAGGAGGACAAAGACTACAGAGTTGTCTTAGTTTGCGGTTAAAGGAAGTTTTAAGGCGATCCAAAGGGTTAGAAGTTAGAGGGGCACATGTGCGGGAGTCAGAGAGCAAGACATCTGCTTCCTAGAGGTAATCCTCAAGGTCAAGGACAACCACCGAATTGCCTTTTTTGGAAGGAAGGATAAGAATAGAGTTGTTAAATTTCAGGGAGGCAAGGGCGAGCTGGAAGCGACGAGGAAGGTAGTGATTTTTTAGATAAGCTTTCAAGAACAGGGATAAGGGCCCCTCTAAAGGCAGACAGGTCTGCAAGAGTACTAGAGTTAGAATTGACAAACTTGTCAAAGGAGCTAATGAGGTCAATGCCACAGCACGAGCCAGGGGAAGTGGCAAAAGAAAGGCCAAGTCCGAGAAGTTCTTGCTGGTGCTTAGAAAGGTGAAGATGAAAGGTTGGTAACACAGTCAGAGAGAGAGTATTTAGTCCAAGGACTGTTGGAAATCAGGCATTGAAGTCTGTTGTGTAGTGTGGAGGAGTGGTGAGAAAAGGAGAGGTGAGCAATGTTAAATGCAATTGGAAATAGGATATTGCATAGATCTAAAGATCATAGATCTAAGTCACTAAATGTCTAGATAATTAACATTTACATACGACTTCATATTCTCAATGAATTTACACCTTTCTCAAATATTACTTAAAAAAGGTACCTAGAAAATCCATCAGATTTACAATCCTAAAATAGTAAATAAACCTGTAAAAATTTATTAGGGATACAAAAAATTCAATTGTATAAAATTACATTAAAACTAAAACTTAGGCATATTATCTTTAATAAAGTAACAGCACGAAATGCCACTACAGTTTACAAATGCAACAGGTATCTCAAATTGTGCATGTTTACTATTTTCAAACATACAATGTATGCAAAACAATATATTCTTACCATCAGGGTCAGCATCCTTAGATAATTTAAGTGCATCACTGTTGGCCAAATCTGAATTAGCAGGCGACACAGCCAAGATCAAACAACTGTCCTTGGTAATATAGGTCATAATCATGTTGCGAATCTGCGATTCAATGTCTACTGGCTGATCACCGATGGGTACCTTCGTTAAGCCAGGCAAGTCGATAAGTGTCAAGTTCAACACTGAAAATGAGAAAATCAGTAAATTTTTAAACAATGAACAATTTCTGATAATCAAATTGCTAAAAGTAACCACAATTTCTACCATTATTTAATATTCTTCAGTAATTACCAAATTCAGCAAAGAAGTTTTCAGAATAAACATTATACAACTTCATGGGATATTTGTTAAGATACTATTTTAAAGTAAAGGAGATATCTGCTCAGTATATATATGCTAGCAAAAACAAGGATAATAAACAATACATTTGAAGAGCACACATACTGTTCCCATTTAACATTAACTAGAGTTACTTTTTCAATGTTGCTGATGAATTCTGGAAAAACAAAATATAGGAAATATATATATACTAGCTCTTCAGGTCCCAACTATTTCCAAGATAGATGTTAAGCTTCCTTTGGGGACTGATTTGCTTGTGTATCATTTCAATACTGAACAATATTTAGTGTTTGCTAATGTGTGCCCCTAAACACCATAGGGCCATCTTCGGGCATCCAAGCTATCACTAAGCTGTGAACACTGTCATAATTCTAGGTAGCCCTATACAGTTGTTCCTGTCCAATGACCATAATTTTTGTGTTCATTCGTTTTTGCCTGTGTGTGTTTGAATCAGATAAAAATAGGTAGGTTAAGTTTGAATGTGTTATGACATTAAGAAGGTAATTATGTGGTAAGGAGGCCCCAGGAAGATGAAGGTAACTTTGTGAACTGAAAATAAGACTTCCTACTCGACATCTTGCCTTTGAAATTATTCTCTCAATCATATCAATATGTAGCAAACTGCAATTAATATTTTTCCTTTGTTCCCCCTGTGGCATCAGTCATTTACACTCAAGAATAACCCTGCTACAAATGTTACAGTTCAATTTGATTAACTATTTTATGACAATGAAATGCTAAGTGACCTCCATGGATGTCCAAATGCAAGTGTATATTTACTGCCTTAGTGTTTTCTGGTAAGGTACAGACATGTTAAGTGAAAGTGTTTCATACATCACTGTGTAGATGATAATAGTGATTAATGAAGTAGGTGTCTAGCAGTGATAGTTTGATATCAAACTGGATGGTAATTGTAATCCAGAGCATTTAGTGACTGGTGTCAGAAATACACAGGTACGTACAGAGGTTATTACAATTCAACTTGAGCACATGAAAATATTTAATTGTGTATGATATTACATCATCTCATACTGTTGAATTATTTATGAATGCCTTCCCTTAAAATAAAGTTCATTATATTCTTGTTTATTATATTGTTACAAAAATACATACATTTCTGGTTTCCATCTGGAGCACTTAAACAACTTAGCACCCTCCCAGTAACCCACATTTGATTATTAAGTTTGTATAAAAGTACTGTAACTTGTGTAAAACAAACTCTTCCCTTCTGACAACTCAGGATTACACAATCTGCCACTCTTTTTCCCTCTTCTGCTTTATTGTCATTAATGTTATAAAACTCCAATACTGCATTCTTGCTTTTTCTAAGGGCATGATGATGTTTATAGGCAAAGTTTCCACCCTCTGGTCATTAATTTCCCCTTGATTATCCTGAGTACAGTACTTTGCATGGAATAAATGTAAGTGACAATACTGTATGCTGCAGCATGGAAGTATACTTGCCTGCCTGTCCCCTAACAATGCTGACAGTCTTCCGTTCCATTGGGGTCTTTCCATTATCTACCGAGGTATAGTAAATTGCTGCTTGTGGTCTGTTTAGCTCTATACTGGCCTCGTTCTTCGAGGGTAATGACTTCCTTGGTCACTGCATCAATGTTTCTTCCACTGTCTTCCTGGTGACTAATTTTAAATTCTCCCTTGCACTTTGCGTATTAAAAATTTAGTTTGGAAAACTTACTAAAGTCTCACTGAGGAAACACACTTCCTAGTCGTGGAGGAGGAAGGAAGTGGTGGTGGAGGAGGAAGGTGGTGGTGGTGGTCATGGAGGAAGGTGGTGGTGGAGGAGGAAGGTGGTGGTGGAGGAGGAAGGTGGTGGTGGAGGAGGAAGGTGGTGGTGGTGGTCATGGAGGAAGGTGGTGGTGGAGGAGGAAGGTGGTGGTGGTGGTCATGGAGGAAGGTGGTGGTGGTGGTCATGGAGGAAGGTGGTGGAGGAAGATGGTGGTGGTGGTGGTGGAGGAGGAAGGTGGTGGTGGTGAAGGTGGAGGAGGAAGGTGGTGGTGGTGGTGAAGGTGGAGGAGGAAGGTGGTGGTGGTGAAGGTGGAGGAGGAAGGTGGGTGGTGGTGGTGGTGAAAGTGGAAGGTGGGTGGGTGGTGGTGGTGAAAGTGGAAGGGTGGTGGTGGTAGTGGAGAAAGTGGAGGAAGGAAGGTGGTGATGGTGGTGAAGGTAGAGGAGGAAGGTGGTGAAGGTATAGGAGGAAGGTGGTGGTGGTGAAGGAGGAGGAATAAGGGGGGGTGGTGGTGGTGAAGGAGGAGGAATAAGGGGGAGTGGTACTGGAGGAGGGAGAGGAATAATGGGGTGGTGGAGAAGGTGGAGGGTGGTGGTGGAGGGTGGTGGTGGAGGGTGGTGGTGGAGGAGGATGAAGGTGATGGAAGGCGGTGGTAGTGATGGAAGGCGGTGGTAGTGATGGAAGGCGGTGGTAGTGATGGAAGGCGGTGGTAGTGATGGACTCCATATTTCATTGGAGTGGTCTAACAAATGGAGGTGAACCTAGAACCTCAGCCCTAGGGCTGAGACTGGTGAAGGGGGGCCTTAGGGCTGAGGATGGTGAAGGGGGCCCTAGGGCTGAGGATGGTGAAGGGGGCCCTAGGGCTGAGAATGGTGAAGGGGGCCCTAGGGCTGAGAATGGTGAAGGGGGCCCTAGGGCTGAGAATGGTGAAGGGGGCCCTAGGGCTGAGAATGGTGAAGGGGGCCCTAGGGCTGAGAATGGTGAAGGGGGAGCCCTAGGGCTGAGAATGGTGAAGGGGGAGCCCTAGGGCTGAGAATGGTGAAGGGGGAGCCCTAGGGCTGAGGATGGTGAAGGGGGAGCCCTAGGACTGAGGATGGTGAAGGGGGAGCCCTAGGACTGAGGATGGTGAAGGGGGCCCAAGGGCTGAGGATGGTGAAGGAGGGCCCTAGGGCTGAGGATGGTGAAGGAGGGCCCTAGGGCTGAGGATGGTGAAGGGGAGCCCTAGGGCTGAGGATGGTGAAGGAGGGCCCTAGGGCTGAGGATGGTGAAGGGGAGCCCTAGGGCTGAGGATGGTGAAGGGGAGCCCTAGGGCTGAGGATGGTGAAGGGGAGCCCTAGGGCTGAGGATGGTGAAGGAGGGCCCTAGGGCTGAGGATGGTGAAGGAGGGCCCTAGGGCTGAGGATGGTGAAGGGGAGCTAGGGCTGAGGATGATGAAGGGGGGGGACCAGGGCTGAGGAAGGTGAGGGGGGGGCTAGGGCTGAGGAAGGTGAAGGAGGGGGGGCTAGGGCTAAGGAAGGTGAATGGGGGCAGGGGAAGGTGAAGTGAGCAGAGCATGGTGAACGAATATGGGGGGTGCCATCTAGTTAACCAAAGCATTACGTAAGTAATGAAATATGGTATTTACTAACTATAATATTGGTGCTGAATGTAGAACATGAAAAAACATATTTTTACTTTGAAATAATACAATTTTATAGCGAAATTAGGCGAAATTAAGTAGCAGGTGACGCCATAGGATGTCAACGATCCAAGCGACAATGTTGTGGCTTTAGGTAATTAGATGGACCGAATTCAGTTATAAAATGAAATTATTTCAGAGTAAATTATATTTTTTCATGTTCAACATTCAGCACCAACTTTAAGAGTAATAATGTCATATTTCTGCATTACTTACGTAATACTAGGATGCTTTGGGCACTCAAGACGGACCGGATATGGGAGAAGGTATGGCAAGGGGTAGGGGGAAGAGGGGGCAGGGAAGGAGAGAAATGAAAGAACGGGGTAAAGTGGGGCAGGCCGTGGAAGGTTTTGGGAAAGAGGGAACATGCAAGGGAAAGGGGCGTGGGAAGAGAATGACGGTGAGACCTCCCACGCAGGCGGACCAAGCTGCCATTGATTATCGGGCAGAGGTCCTCTGGGAAGGGCACCTTCTACCACCACCTCACCTTCACCCGCTCAATATATAACCCATAAAGGTAACTACACTAGGGATAAAAAATAAATGATAAATAGTGATTTCAAGAAATGAGGAAAATGTAATACAAAATTAAGTTGAGGACATCAGGAATGTGCTAGTACAAGAGGTGGTGTCTATAATTTCACAAAAAAATCCAGCTAAAACGATTAATGTGCAGAGGGAGATAACACGCCACGAGCTTGAAGCACCTTCAGTAAACTACAAATAGGTAATTTTCATTACATGTAATCCATGATGAAGTACAAAACACTATGTAAGATATTTTAAGACGTCAATGTAATCTTCGCTATCGTCACGTGGTATCCGGCCTTCACTCGCCATCTAGCTCAACAGCACTCCGTTGATACATTAAAGTTTTATCTAGACTTAGTATTCTTAAGCACGCGTCCCATAAATAATAATTACTGACATTTATCGTGCACATGCATAGCCTAATAAGGCTAAGTGACAGGAATTTCCAGGAGAACAAGAAAGAAAAAGATTGACATATACAGAGACAACGAAGGGGGAAGAAATATTATTCCACTCTTGGTCTAATCAGAGTAAACATACAGGAAATAGTTGGAATATGACAACCAACTTGCGTTTCCGCATGGGGGGGGGGAGTGGGAATGAGTCAATTTTTACCCAAAATCTAAATGGCACATTTGATTACGCTGACAATGATTTTTTCCTTTAAATTACGTACACTATTTGCTCGATGAACTATTAACATAGCATAATCTTCTATTAAAATTTTAAAATAATGGCTGAGTGCTACGAGTATTTTGTATAGCGAAAACAGTGAAAGTATATGAAAGAGAAGGAAGGCTGTGTCAATGCCAAGCTAACTTGGTTAATAATTTGTAATTAATATTCTTAACCTATATCACACAAAGAACTTAGCATTTTAAAACTTG